ATTATTTTATAACGAGTTTAAAAAAAAGCTCTCTACATTTTTACATATCTGAGTAGAGAGAAGTCTCCTAATTCTAACGCTAAAAAACTAAGCAGTTTGCTGCGAAAACGATTGAGTTATCACTGTTAGAAACGCTTCTGGTCGTTTCGCTTTTAACCGAATAAATTTAACTCAATATGTGATGTGGGAAAAATATCAAGTGTTTCTTGTGTTCCACAGCGGGCAATCATGTGGATATTAGATGAATAAATGAAAATGATATTTTCACAGAAGCCGTTCAGACCGAAAAAAAAGTAATTTTTCTTTCTACACTTAGGATTTTTCGAAAAGACGTGTTCAGTATACTGAGTTTCCAAAATTTCCCAAGCTCCAAATTAGCTCAAAATTTCACAAAATGTTCTTTTGCTCATGATAGATGTGCATGGTTAGTACAAACTAGCACAAATGCTTTGGAACCGAATTACACATTTTCCAGAAAACCGTCGGTTCTTCACGTCTATTTATTTTCGTCTAGAAGCATTTTAAAACGAAAATTGGAATCAGCATCAAAAACTATATCGAATAATGCATAATCTGAACTTTCTTTATGGTGAAAAATTGAAAATTAGCTAAAAAATGTGTTTTTTTTCCATTTTTCACTGTGAAGATGTTTTTCAAAATTGAGCCTACGAGATGATCATGTGTATATGTCTCTACTCTGTGTTATTTTGTCAAACATGAAACAAGATGTGAATATCGATATTATTCGAATATTGATTGGGACTGAAGGCGTAAGAGACTTGGACTGCACTGGGACTGAAGACATAAAAGACGTGGACCTTTTTTTGGCAAATCTTTTTTCACATTTGTGACTGGATTTTTCAGTATAAATTTGAAAAAAGATGAAAAGAATAAAGAAACTGAATTCACTCTTTTAGCTTTTTCGTGTTACCCCATAGTCGGTTAAGATTAGCTCCGACTAAAAGTTTTGATCAGAGTTAGTTACAATCAAAAGACACCTCTTATTTTTCGTTGATTGATTGGTTTTTTTGCACTAAATACCCGTCTGTCTTTCTACATTGGACATTCTAATTTTCTCAAAGTTACGGAAATATCTTGTGGAAAATAACAGGAATCGAGATCGGGATCGGGATCAATACTTAGACCAGAAGTGGAAACTGTGGATCTCAAAAGAGAGAGAATTTTCTGTTTTTTCTGGTTGCGCATTGCCAGTTCAATCATTTTCGCAGCGTATATATTTTAGAAGCAGAAAAAGACAATATCCGAACTAGATGTCAGCGGGATCAGTTCCGATCGCAAAATACCGAGATCGGGCGTAGTCTTTAGACCATGAACAGAGGTATAGCAGAAGCTAAGAAGGAGACAGTCAGATAATCTCAAGTATCTTATATTCACGTTTGGGTATTGGCTATATGGTGTATCAGTTTCAACTAGCTAAGAAGGAGACAGTCTGAGAATCTTATTTCGATATTCTCTATATATGGTGCATCAGTTCTAAGTAGCTGAGAAGCCGACAATCTCGTGTATTGTTTGTTCATACTCGAGTTGTCTAAAGGATCAATTTTTTTATTTTATGGCGGGTAGAAAGACTAGGAGCATCTTAGTCGTCAGACTAGTTCGATGTTTTTTGATGCGATATTTGGATCTTGAAACTTCAGACTACATTTTAAGTTTTCACTTTCGAATGTGTAATTTGAGTTCCACTTTTTGCTTTTCGTCGGCTTTGTGGTTAGCTTACAATTCTCGTAATAGTTTTGCGAAAAATTTTCCAGATTTCCTTCCAAAGAATTTCAGGTGAAACAACGTTTCCCGATGGGATTTTCATCTAACTAATAGAAACTATTTCTAGTTTATCTGTAGAAAACTCAACCTCATATATTATTAGATTAAGAAGGTGGAGAGCTGGGAAAGTTTGAAAGTTTTTGGAAAAGTGTAAGTCCTCCGCCGAGTTATGATCATAACTGTATATAACTACTCTTGATAAACCTCAGCAATCCCAACGGGTGCAGTATTATTATTTAACTCATTCTCACCATGCACAGTGATCACTGTTTTAGACAATATTCAATATATTTATCCTCACCCCCATCTTCATATAAATATACAATACATGAGTTTATCTGATTGTCTGCTTCTTAGCTAGTTAAAAATGATGCATCATATAACCCACGCAAAAATGCTCTACGTAGAGAATCTAGCTCCATCGACTACATAACCGTGTGGTTATTCACTTGATGGATCTAGGTAAATGTACCTTTTTATCTAGTTAACTAGCTCCAGCCTAATAGTGAACCGAGCACTAGGTTATCGGAGAGGCTGACAATTAGGTTAGATCGGAGAGGTTAGCACTAGGTAGAGCGGGAGGTTGACAACTAGGCTAACCACCCAATTAACCGACCGGTTAAGCTAGCTCCGAAAACGAAATATATTTAATAAAAGGGTGGGTAACAAGTAGGTTAACCGAGTGGTTGGAGAGTCCGGTTAACCGAGAAAAAAAGAATATGTGCCCAACGAGAATTGAATTCGCCAACTACCGCACACTATCAGAATTGAGATTGGAAGTAACATGACGCTTTAACTAACTAAGCTAACAGGCAGGCATACATGTAGTACTTGATAAGTGATGAAATCATTGAGAAGATATTTCAGAGAATGGTGTTTTCTGTCTCAAAAGAACATTTTCGAGAGTTGTGTCTCGAACATAAAATGTCACAAATATAGTTTTCTAAGCTTTATGTGTTGGACTCAGACTTTAAGACATCATTCTTCATGATGAAAAACAGTAAATACCGTTTCTCACTGTGAAGATCGTTTTGTACAAAGTTGGGTCTGGCAAATAAAGTTTAGGAAATTAAACTTGCTACATTTTTGTACTAGCCTCAACTTTGGAAACCTCTTCTTCCATTGTGAAAAATGATATCGACCAAAAAGGCGGCATTTGTGATTTCTCACAATGAATAAAGAGTTTTCCAAAGTTGAACCTAGAGACAAAAATGTAGCAAATTTAATTTTCTAATTAGTTATATCTGCCAGACTCAACTTTGTACAAACCAATCTTCACGGTGAGAAAGGGTATTTATTGTTTTTCATCATGAAGAACGATGTCTTAAAATCTGGTTCCAACACCTAAAGTTTAGAAAATTAAATTTGTGACCTTTTATGTTCGAAACACAACTCTTGAAACTGCCTTTTTCAAACAGAAAATACAAGAAGCAGAAAAGATTACTATCTCGCAGGGTCGAATCTGTAAAAGGATTGTACTTTTCTGCTTTCTTGCTATTCGTAGGAATCATTTAAGAATTCATTTATAAGTTTCTTCAGGTGTCCATGACGTTAAGAGTTACGGTTTTAAAAGCCGGTCGGTTACGTGGGGGTTAACCTACGTGATAACTTTTTACGTATAACGTTTTTACTACGTGATAAGTTTTTGTTATATTAACCACAATATGGTTATAACAAAAAATTAAACTTCTTTTCTATGGCAAACTACATAGGAAAGAAGTACGATAAACAATCGGTTTCACCTTTGAAGAATGAAGTAAAATATTTTTTTGCTTTTCAAATAATGGGAGCACACAAGAAATGTAATTGTTTGCTTTTAGCTTTGTTATTTCTGAAAGAGTACGTCATCTCAGTTACACGAACAAAAACCCAATAGGTACGTACGTTTCTGAAACAAAGATACTCACTACTTTATACACTTTTGTGTGCGTCCAAGCGTTTGTTTCTCCTTGAATTATCATTTCTAAGTGCTCCTATTTATGTAGCTGGAGAACTCATTCAAATTTAGGTATTTGTATTCACCAGGACTCACGTTTTTCACTCCAACAGGCTTGGATGTCACGAGTATAAAGCTAAAATTAGCACATTTAGTAGAGTTTTTAACTAAGTCAAAACATAATCGAACCTGCACAGTTGATAACATTTCTTTACATTTCTGGACTTCTTCTTAACATTTCTGGATTTACATTTCTTTTGTAAATTTAGTTTTTACTATACAGCTCGAAGAGCACTATCCAGCTATGCCAAGAAAAGAGCAAGAACATATTCGAAATCAGCGTGAAAAAATACATCTAATGATAGGTCTTTTAACCAGTTTCAACGAAAGTCTGCGCAAGTTTTCAAAAACATGGTTTTTCAGGGGGGTTTCAGAGTCCGGGTCTCTAGAAAACCCCTCGAAATCGGAACCTTTGTAAATTTTCTGATCTCATAAGAAAGAGCATGTAAGAAAACCTACCGAGGCTTTTTTTGAGTCAAGTAAAGCTGAGTTAAACCAAATGCCCGCCTGGCTATGGAAAATTGCCCAGTGTGCCATGGGCTCCATACAAATATAAACGTTCTAAAATGCACGAAATTCAGAAAACAACCCTGTTCGAACAGTTTTGTGTTCTAACTTTAGTCGAAATATACATTTTTGTTAGAAATAACTTCAAATTCTTTTTCACACCTGAATTTTTAAGAGCAAATATTCTCTACAAGATGAGACGTTGCACGACTCTGAGTATTCCTTAGACGACTTACAACTATTTTCGTGGAATTTCTAACATCAGTTTTTAGCTGGTGTATGTCTACATGGTATCTTACATAACATACATCTATACACACACATGGGACATATTTCAACAAACATTACGAACAAATTAACCATCAATATCGATACCTACACACACGCACATATATCTATTTTTCAATATATCTTAACACAAAACAAGCAGTGGACGAAAATTTTATTCACTATTATACTGATATGAAAAAATTATTTTTATCAATACGATCCAACTATGTCAAATGCACTTTGGTAGATAATGATCGTTTTTTGGCAAAAACTCGTTTTAAAATTGCAGCTTTAATTTATTTGTCTTGTAAATCATATTTAAAATGCCTATGCTTAGCAACTGTCTTTAAAAAACTAAAAGTGAAAAAAAAGGAAAAATAATTATTAAGTTTTGTGTCAAAAACTAATATAACGCGCATAAAATATTTATCTTTTAGCTGAAATAATGCCAACTGATGAACTGATAACGATTCGTCCATTCGAACCAGGCGATGAACAAGTATGCAAATGGTTATTTGTAAAAGGCATAGAATATGTACGTTGGCCAACATTCAAACAAGTATTAAAGTCATATACTGCATTAGCTGTTGATACTTTAGTACTATTGATTCTACTCATTTGGCCCAATCTCCTAATGTTTATCTTACCATTCGTTTGCTTATTGCTTTTGGCACTTTGGCTTTTAATAAAACGAGAGGTCTATGAGTATTGTCAGCATTCAATTGACTCTGATCTAGCCAATATTCAACAATTTTACATGAATACGAAGGATCGCAGATCTCATTATTGGGTTGCTATACTTAATAATTCATCTAGGACAATCGATGGATTGAGATCAGGTGATATTGTCGGTATGATTGCATTGGAATATAAAGACAATGATAACGGTGAATTACGGCGGATGAGTGTACATCCACAGCTACGAAGATTGCGTGTAGGCATGAAATTAATTGGCGTGCTGCTTGACTGGGCTAAAGCGAAAGGTTATAAAAGAATTTATTTACAAACAACTATAATGCAAAAACCAGCTATTGCAATGTATAGAAATGCTGGCTTCAAATACTGTCAAAATGGAAGTCGTTACGATTGGAAATCCAACATAGCTTTTTTCATGTTTGAAAAAACTATTGAATGACGACAAGACGAATGTTTGTATTTCTTCTTTCGACTGTTTGATTGATTATTGATTAAATCAATCAGGAATGAAAAACTCAACCGTTTTCTATTCTTTTAAAAACACTTCTTAAACCAGTAAAAATACAAAATGTAAAGCTGAACTTTTCTGGATATACATATGAGACTCCGCTCTTCATTATGAACTCTAAATTGACTATTTTAAAACCTCTAAGTTATAGAAAGATGCAGTAATTTTTAGTATCCCAAGTTTTTCCATCACTTTAATGTTTTTCTCAAAATTAAATAAACTTGCATTTTTCGTCCGAATGATAGAGAATTACTGACATTTGACTCTAGAAATTCTGTCACTCTGAGTGTCAGTCTTCTGAGAGTTTCATTGCATAACAGGTCAGTTTGCTTGGGGTGACTTAAAATGTTATCTTTATTTTAATTTCTTTTAATTAAAAATAGACACATTTTCAAGAAACTGAGCATGATTTATTATGAAGTGGAAACACACGACCTGGACTACTCATCAAAGGTATGCGAATTCAAGAACAATATTATCAGCTACTCATATCGCTTTTTGGTAATGATTCAAGCGCAATCAATATCTGAAAACTTGAACAAATTATCAATAACATGTATAAGATTACTTGCCAGGAAGGAAAGCCTCCGACTTCTTGAAGGATCTCAAAATACACACTTAGCCCTCAGCGACATTGACAATTCGTCAAAGAAGTTTGTTACTGAATGTTTCAGCTAGTCGAATATTTTCCCAGATTTATTCCACATATTATGAGAACCCTAATCGAAAACTTAGGTTTTGACACAAAACTTTTATCATTTTAAACAAAAATAAATCCTGTTAAATGCAAGAAGAGAATGAAACATACGAAGTGCAGCATACATGCTGATAGTAAAAATAGATAAAATTATGGATTTTCCTGGCAATAGGAAAGAGAGTAAATAAAAGTAAAACAAAGAGAGGAGAGAATATCCATCTGATAGACCAGAGAATAATGAAACAATGAATATGCTTATAAAACAATACCCTTTCAAAAAAAAACAACGACGAGATCTGGAAAAATCTGAACAAGTGCTCTATCCATCAGAAATCTTAACTTAATCGTCCTTGATTATCTAAAATAAATTCTGCCGCAACTGAAACACGCAAAAATGTCTAAATGTCTGTCGTATAGAGCATACAAAACCACATAGAAGCAGATAGTTGCCTTCGATCGTGATTTCATCTGTACTTCGAGACTGTGTGTTAAATGTCTTGTTTTGATTAGCAGACTTGATTCATAATCTACCAAATACAAGCTTAAAAGCTGTATGAATGTGAACAAGTCATCGCCGAATATTAATTAGTTGTATCGCATTGTTCGCTGTTATTCTTTGGATAATATACCAGAGCTGTTGAATTATTCTAAATGAATATTATGATTTAGTAAGTAACGACTTATTTTCCATCTCTTCAAAAGTTTCTCAAGTATACTGTTGCTCTACTTTTTTTTAAGTAAAAGCAGTTAATTCGCGATAAGAAGAGCATCACAACTTTCACAGATGGTTCCATTGTTTTGATTATTAATTACCTGATTATCTAACATCAATTCTGCAGCAGCTGAAACACGCACAATAAATTAATTTATTTGAAAGTGTTACATACGCTTGTTTTGAAAATAGAAGTATTTTTGCATTAATTCTAGTGAATCACCGGTACTTGACTATATTAATTTCTCTTAGCACTCAACTTTGATACAGGCACATTTCTTTGATTTGAGCAGGTGATCAACGACAAAAACTTACCGTCAGTTGTTTCATGATCAAATGGTTCTAAAAATTATAATGTTCGATATCAAGATTATGTGTATTTTAATATGATTGATTCTCAGCTATAACGAACTCCCATTGACATAATGTACAGAAAAGAACGAAACGTTTTACATACCAGGCATAACTGTTTTTATTAAATATTAGTTTTGCGTCTTTGATTGCTTTCTCTTCTATATATATTTTGGTAAATACATGTCTGCCCTTATTTATATATATATTTAAATAAGCGTGTGATTTATTTTGTAAATATATACGACACATTTCGCTTCACAAGATGGGAATCGTCCACGTCGCAGACAACGCTGCAATTTCAGACAATGCTCATGCGTCTTTGATTGCTT